ATACTGGTTAAATTTTGAAAAGTACTGTTATCTTTAATATAGAATGAGATTCCCTGATTCAAAAACATTTAAAGTGTTACATATTTTTTCCCTAAAACTTGTCTGTGTTTTTCACCTTAACTTTCACATTAATCAGCACACTCTAAATAATGTGTACTTGATACATACCTAAGTAATTCCTACCTATGGTTCCTATTCACCTCAGAATCTAATACCACCAATAATTTATTAAACCTAATACTTAAACCATATCGAAAAACATACTAAAATATAGGGTAAAGAGGTAGTGAACAATGTGGTTAGTGTCTCAAAAATTTTCATCCTTGCAAAGAGAAATCATACTACAACCTAACAATGGCACTATCAAAAACATTTATAAAATGTTAAAATCTGCCTAATTTCTCTATTTCTACTTTTCTGTGTTTTCGGTAATAAAACTCCAAAAGGAAAAAGTTGAATTATTAGGGACAATGTATTGCTATTTCTATTTCAAAAACAGATTTTCAGATTAGAAAAGTTGTAATTCACTTATTTCATGAATAACTGGGACCCATGGAACTGACTTGCTGGAGATTTCCTACAGGTTAACTGCTGATCACAGTGCCACATCTCCTGGCTCCCAATCATTTAATTAAATAGAATTATTTCTAATAAAGTGGTATCATTTTAAGGTAAGTAAATACCACTACAAAACATAAAATAAGTAATCATATTTTAACAGACTGGCAAAACATGAATCCTGTTTTGAAAAGAAGAAAAAACAAAACAAAACACCATGTAATCAAGAAATGTGATCCGAGTCCCAAATCTAGTAAAAAAGCATACAATTTCTGTGTCAAGATCTCTTCATAAATATGCAACCACCAGTAAGGTGGCGACTAGAAAGGGAAATTAACAAACCAACTAATTCCACTATGCAAACTAAGAAATAAATAATTGTCCAAAAATTATTTGAGTTTTCCTATTCTATAGTTTGTCTCCTAAGCCTCAGTCCATTTAAAAAATAAGACTTCTGATAAAACTTTTTTAAAATTCCTTTTGCTTTAAGTCGGTGTCTTGTTTTTAAAAATAAAAAACTAATTAGACATATACCATAGAGCCAAAAAAAGTTTTAATTTCCTATTAAAAATACTTTAAATCTTAAGGTAGAGGGGATTAATCACAATGAAATTTTGTCAATCATACTTGAAATAAACATCAATTTTTTTAAAAAATCTGTAAACTTTTAAAACTGCTCATAAATCTCCACTTTCCTCTTGGTCAAAACTCAATCACTAATTATATCTGTAGACTGACTGCAGATACTAATCTCCACCTATTTTTAGGCTCATAAACACAAATATTACTTCCCATCCTAAATAACTAATTTGAGATTTTTCTAGAAATTTTAATGTGACATATGAATTTTTCCCTTTAAAATATTACTCATTTATCAACAAATTTCCAGGTAGAGGTAGACACTACTGAAACCACCTATCAAAAATAGTAATTTTAGTTTCACTCACCAAAATAGTCTTCAAATCAATGCCAAATAAAAGTAATTTGATAGGCAACGAAGTTAAACATGTTTAAGTCATAAGAATAAATTAAGACACTAGAGAATACTATACAAAGTTTTGCATGTTCACCTAGACATAAAATTCAAGATCCTACTTACTATTAAGCAAGACTGTGCTCAGATATCTGCTATTCCAAAATATTTTTAGAACTAACTAAATCTCAATTAAAAAGTCAAAGCTGAACAGAATACCTACACACCTATAGTTTGATGAATATGAAAGCATCTTGAATGATGCCTTGTATCCAGTAGATATGGAGTGAGCAACATGCTGAATGAATAAAATGATCCAAAGAACTCTGAATTCTAATGAGAATTTTAACTTCCTCATGAAATGCCAACATGACTGTTCTAATATAAGGATGGAAACATTCCAAGTAATAACCACTTCCATGCAAAATAGGCAGATGACGATAAATAACACACCAATGAAGACTCTACTTATTGTGTCCTAAGTTTTGAGAAAGAGCCAGGAATATAAATGCACTAATATTTGAGAGACAAGAAACCCTCTAAAAAATTAAATTAAATAAAAAATCAACATTGGTGCCCTTTTTTGTTACTGGAGAAAACAAAATGATACTCCTACAAGGATAAGACATTCCCCTTATTTGGCCAGATTAGCCACTTCATTTTAAAAATATAAATCTAACATTACCAACTGTCTCCAAGAACACACAGCAATCTTTAACAACTTGGGGGCTGTTGGTTTTTATAAGATGCAAAGATGAGTTTTGTAAAATCTGTCCAATTCTTTAAAAGGAAAATTATAATCTTTATAGTTTTTTGGAGTAACAAGCAAGACACTTCAGATTTTGTCAAAGATTACAATCTAAAAATTTAAATACTTAAGTTAATGAATTTGAGTTGGCTTCAAATTCTATTCATTTTAGCCAAGTATTGAATGAAACTAGCCTAAATCATTCACTACGTGCAAACTGTTAATGTTTCCATTAAATTTACTAAACTTTAGTGCCCTTGCTTATTTCAACAGATGTAGGCATTTATCAGCAGCCTATATTAAATCAGAATAAAAGACTTGGACTCGTTAAATGTTCTACATCCAAATGAAAGACAAGTCATCAAATCCAAATCATGTCATGCCTTTACCCTACTCGAGCCATTCAATTCTAAGAGCTTTGAAACGTCCAAATATTTCAGAAGCCCTCATTAAGTAACAGTCATTAATTACATCACAACATCAGTTGCAAATGTCTCAGAAAATCAATGCATGCATAAATTTTAAATGCTTGATTTGCCCCCGAGTGAGTGCTTTAACTGCCCAACACACACACACACACACACACACACACACACACACACGCGCGCGCGCGCTCATACAAATAACCTAAATCCGTTTAGGAGAAAAGAGCATGCAAAATTAAACTCCCCGATACAGATACGTCTCTTTTCGCAGACAACAATCCTAAAGTCTTAAGTCCATATTTAGAAGTCAATGTCTACAAACTACTAAAATATCCATCTTGAAAACCCACAAAAATGAAGTGGTGGGCATTTTAAAACTATTTAACAAAAATATATCCTAAGATAAATCGGAAAACTTTTACTTCCAGAGATGCATCTTCCCTATAAACGTGGCTAAAAATAAAGAAACAAAAAAAAACAACGCTTCCGTGACCTTTACTAACCGTTCATCGGACAAGGGGGCAGAGAACACCCCGCAATCAGCAAAATTAGAAAAAAAAAAAAAAAAAAAAAAAAAAAAAAAGCCTGTTCAACTTCTGGCTTTTTAGGGTATCACAAGCTTTTACACTTGTGCGAGCGCTGTTTTGGTAAATGCAGTTATGTTCTGAAGGCCAACTATCACACATCCGAACCCTTCCAACAACAACAACAACAAAAAAAAAAAACACAAAAAAATAGCTCTGAATTTAAAGAAAACAAAAAGAAACCAAAAAAGAAGAAAAAGAAAAAAAGATAAGTCTTGCCACGGTTCCGCCGCTGCCGATGAGCCAGCCTTGTGAATGGCTAATGCCGCTCCGGAGCTCTGTCCCCAGCCATTGTGTGCAGCGGCCGAGAGCGCCGCGCCGCGCCGCCCGCGCGAGCCGAGCTGCAGGCGCGCCCTCCGCGCGCCGCTCCCGCCGCCGCCGCCGCCGCCGCCGCCGCGCGCGCCCCCGCGCCCGCCCGGCCGCGCGCGCCGGCCCCTCCTCCTCCGGGCCTTGCACTGCACAACACACTCATGACGTATCTTTATTTCTAGCCCATTAACCAAATATCACCAATAAATTGTCGGCAGCCCCTACGGCCCCGGGGTGCAGGTCCCCCCGGTCGCTGCCCCCCGCGGCCCCCGCGCCCACTTCCCAACGATCCCCCCCCCCCCCTACCCTGGCCTTTGGGAGCTTTCCCGTTCTGGGGCCAAGTTTTTGTCTCTGTTAAAAAAAAAAAAAAAAAAAAAAATTGCGGGAAATTCAATTTTTATTCCGAGTCGGGGAAAAGTTTCTTTGCTCCGCGGCGCGAATGCCTCACCAGGTTCTGGTAGGTCCTGGGATGCTCCTTCCCGGTCCAGTCGGTGCGCCGCGGCAGCAGCTGCGGGGGAGAGGGCGTCCCCGTGAGCCCGGGCCCCCCGGCCCCGGCCCGCCCGCTCCCCTCCCCCGCCCGCCCGCGCCCCGCCGGGGACCCCGCGCCCCGCGCCCCAACCCCGGCGGCGGCGGCGGCGCCGTGGGCCCGAGGGCGGCCGCTCGGCGGCGGCAGGACGCGCGCGGTCCGCCGCCGCCGCCCTTACCTCCTTCTCGGCCACCTCGCGGATCAGCACCTGCAACAACAAAGCGGGGAGAGCTGAGCCCCGCGCCCCGGGCCGCGGCCCCGCGCCGCCGCCGCCGCCGCCCTCCCCCACGCCCGCGAGCGCCGAACCCGGCCCGGCCCGCGCCGCGCGCCGCCGTACCTGAGCCGCCTGCTGACAGGGTCCATCTTCCAGGAACCGGGCGATGAGGAAGTAGAGCTCTGCGCGGGGGAGAGAGAGGGGGAACGGGGGAAGACTGCTGAGCCACCGGGCGGCGGGGGGCGGAGGAGCACCGCGAGCGGCATCGCCCGGCGCCCAGCGGCCCCGGGAGCCCCCCTCGACTTACCCGATCGCAGCTCCGAGAGGCCTTTCCTCTCGCAAGACATGTTTGTGGGTCACTTCGGGGCCGCGGGCGGGACACCCCGCCGCCCAGGGGAAGCGGGGATGGTGCCTCCGCCGGCCCTATAGCTGTCACTGGCGTGTGCTCGCGAGCCCAGCCTCGGCTCCACCATTCAAGCGACGGCGGCGGAGGCGGAGGCGGAGGAGGAGGAAACAACAACTCTCAGGCAAGCGGCTCCGGCCGCCGCCGCCTCCGCCGCGGATCCCTCCGCCGCAGAAAAGAGTCCGCCGCCTGCCCGGCCCCGGCCCGCGCTCCCGCTCCCGCCCCCTGGAGAGAAAAAGGAGTGCCTGCGCCCCCGGCGACCCCGCGCCCGGCGCGGTGAGATCCCCCCTCACCCCCACCCCGGCCGAAGGTGCGATTTGTTTATTTATTTCCAGCTGGAGAGAGATGGAGCCGGAGCCGGAGCCGCGGGCTGGCTGGGAGGCGCTTTCTCTCCGTGGAGGCCGATCGCGGGAGGGAGGAAGGCAGGCAGGGAGGGAGGGGGCCGGGGCCGGCTCCGCGGAGGGATCTGACGCAAGCGGAGCCGCAGCACCGCTCTATTCAGCGGCGCTGCCTGGCGCTGCGATGGAAGTTACTTTCCATGTAGCAGAAATAGGAAACAAATGAAGCCAAACTGCCCGGCGAGGGGAGATGCCCCGAGGTTGGGGCTCCCTCGCACGCACACACACACACACACACACGCACACGCACACGCACACGCACGCACGCAGAGAGAGCACTCTCTGCGCCGGGCAAACTCGGGATGGATCGCGCTCCCCGGCCCGAGTTGAATGAAATAGTGTTCGGTGTCTGTCCCTTGGCCATGTGCATGGGTTATAAACGCAGCGGATGGGCACCGGTGTGAGTCTCGTCCTGCGTTATTTCTGCGGCCGATGCAAAGTGCGGTGCATTCCGGGCGCTTTGCGTGGCCGTAAAGATGCGGGCTCCTTGTGGTGAAGTGCTTGGCGTTTGCTGAAGCCCGTTATTTGCAGGAGCCACCTATCCGTGCATCTTCTATTACTGCCATCGCCTTAAGCGTTGTTTTTTTTTTGTTTTTTTTTTAATGCTGTTATTGTTATATGGGCAAAGCGAACTCCTGATCGGTACTTCAGATACTCTTTTTATTTTCCTGATTACAAAAAAAAAGCTAGTGACTGCTAATGAGGGATTTGGGGATTAAAGAACCTTAAAGCTTTTTTTTTTTTTTTTTAAGTGTTTACCAGAAGGAATCATGTAAACATGAAAGAAAGGAAAAGAACACCGATCATTTATCCTAACTGATTTGGAGGTAGTTTGGTGACAGATCAATAACCTCCGAAGGGTACTGAAACAGTATGCTACACTTTAAAACCGGTTGATTTAGTGATTAAATAATTTAAATCATCTTGTGTATCTTGTAGTGGACTTCGTCATACTAATTAATGGCTTCTAATTTGAGGTGTAAACCATTCCTGTTTACGGTTAATCGCGGGAAGACTTCTTGAAAACTGACAAAAGAAGGAAAAAATTAATCTTTCGTAAATTAGTGTTAATTACCGGTTTTATACGCTAAATCTTACATCTGCGTTTTGTGATGGAAAAAAGGGCCTTGTTTGTTTAAAAAAACAAACACGAATATGGGTGAAATTAATGGAAACAATGGAAAAAGCCATTTGTTAGAAAACAAGGACACTAAGTGATATTTATCTTTAGGAGATTTGAGCACTTTTCCAAAAGACTTGAGAGTTGATTTTTGTTTTTAAGGATTGCATTTTAAAGGGCACTAGGAGAGTCGTTCTTTTGTTAACATTCAACAAAAGATTCTCCTTAAAAATGTTAGATAATAAACTGCATTTTATGGACGTGGTCTAAAAAAAAAAAGGTTATTCGTGGGGGAAAGGACCAACAAGCTGTATTGTGATTTTCTAGATTGTTTCGTCAAGCCTTGTACCCGCTGAGCTCCTTAGCATTCCTAGTGAGAAATACTTGCTGCAGCTGCCTTGAGCTGCACTGCAAGACTGCATCTGTGTAATACCCTCTATTAAAACATCCAGAAATCATCAGACATATGATGAAGAAAAAAAGACTAGACATCCTTGGACTAATATGATGTAAAAATTGCCTTTTTTTTTTTTTTTTTAGCAACCTTAATTCAAATAACAAAGAGTTGTTCCATTGCATTTTAATTATCAGAGGAACTTATTTATTGAAATGGCTATCCTTCCAATATTGAAAATATTTGCATTTTTAAAGACAGTAATTTCATTCTAACTATTATAGGAAAAGTAGCTTCTTCTAGGTGATTAGGTTTGAAAAGACATTTAATATGCCTTTATGCAATCTGTTTATTTCCATGATTGATGCTTTCTAGGCCATCTTTTCTATTTTAAAAATATTATATTCTTCCAATAAGTGTAATATTTTATATTATGATGTTCTTCAAATAAACAGATTTCAAGAACTAAGGCTTATAGTTAGAATGTTGTGGTTTTGAAATGTTTGTATTAGTCTGATTCTTACTAATAGATGTTTTATCCTTGCGAAGGAAAATAAATCAAATTATGACATGAAATATAAAATTACCCTGAGTAAAGTTTTCCACATATATCTTGTGTCTGTTATGTAAACATTGAAAGCTGTATGATTATCTCATGTATGTTTTCCATTTGGAAGCTACAAAAGCTTTCCCTGAGTATGCTACTATACTTAGCTCCAAAATTTAAGGAAAATAGCCCTTCGAAGTTTTCTGAATATGATGTTTCTGTCATTTTGACTGACCTTTGACAATATTTGTAGTTTATTTTTCAAAGACCTAATTTGAAGATGGCTGCCTTTGAACTAATTTATAACTATGAGTCTGTTTTAAGAAAATATGTATTAATTGCTAAAAATTAAAACTTCTCTTAAGCAAAAATAAACTTTTTTTTTAACAGTGGATGTTAAATTGAATTTTACTTAGTTTTTTAAATGTAATAATCCTATAACATTTTAATTTCTTTAAACATAAAATAAATTTCGGGATTTTGATAACTGTAGGGTTATTAAGTCATTTATTGTGCATGTATATACAGAAAGACTGCACATATCATATATAAAGAAAATCTTACCTTGAAGTCCTGTATTTTAGGTTCCAAGATGATAGCACTTGCAATTCTTTTCTCAGCCTTCTCTTTTGCATATAAGGATAGTTCAGATTCCTTCTATATCCCTTCCTATTTGTTTCTTTTAACTTTTTCGTGGACTTCAAAAATAAAGTGTCAATTTAAAAGATTTTCATGACTTTTATATAAGAAGGCTAACAAAAATAGTAAAAGTTTGGAAAACCAATGATTCGTGTTTTTATTATAGTGGTCTCCTTAGGAGAATTACACACTTTTCTTGAAATGTGAAATTTAAGAAAATTTTCTGTGAAATTCCTCACTTGTTTTCACTTGGCATCACATGAAACAAGATACGTAAATACTTTACAAAAAGTTTGCCTTGATTGTGATAACTTATTATTCTAATGAAATAATCAATTGCTGCCATTCAAGTTCTTTCTGGAATAAGATAGGATAGTATTTATAAATAAAAGGATTCCACCACATTTATGAAATTGGTTTATCTCCACTAGCATGAAATAATACATAGATTAAAAAAAAAAAACTCTGCAAAAACTTTAAAAATTATATATTAAATCCCATCTTTATTTGATATTATGCTTTTTTTATAGCTATAAAATGTAGAAATGGAAAAATAGAAAACATTTTTCTTCAAAACTGCCTCCTTTTTTAATGCTTATCTGTCCTGACAACAAAATACAGCTGTCAAAAGAATCTTGTGTAATACACCTCACTCCTTCTTCTGGATTGCTCCCAATATTGTATGTTTCTGCTCAGATCTCTCTGACTTTCTCTCAACACACATATTCTTCTCCCATTATAAAGCTTGAATACCTATCAAATTTGAAATATGAGCAGATATACTATTTAGCTGCTACAGAAAGAATAGAGGAAGCCAAATCATTATTTAACAATTTGTATTGTCTCCCTTATATCTCACTGAGAAAGCTTTCCACTTAAATTTGAGCACAATTCCTTTTAATCTAACAAAAAATCAGTTCGTTACCAACAATCAAGTAACCCCTTATTTAAATGTTAGTAGTAATTCACCACTCAACTTTTTCCCCTCCAAATTAAATAATCCTAGGAGCTTGGGGTTTGTTTTTTCTAATGTGAGTTTTAGTTTGCACAAGAAAGACATATCTCCACGGACATATATGTTTTATTTTTAACATCCCTTCATGACCTAACAGTACAGTTACAAAGATTAACGTAGAAAAGCAATTTTAGAACATATTCCCCCAAGATTTAAAGCAACGTTGGATGGAGTAGAAAAAGCTGTTCCAGATGGCAAGAAACTTAAAGGAGAAGTCTGTAGGCATGTGGTGTCACATGAAGATGTCTGATGGATGGAGAGTGGGCTGGACTGAACAGAGAACAGTGGAAGGGGAGACGGTAGACTCGGGGGAGGGGATGCAGTTGCTAGTGGTAGTGTGTGAAACAAAGCATGCAATTTATTATCCATGTGCTTTTAAGAGGGAATTTGATGGCAAGAGTTATGTAGTAACTTGCCTTTACGTGTACCCAAATTCGTAAACTGGGAACCCCAAAGAAGAAAAATTATTTTATTCACAGAAAGGAAAGGAGGAGGTTTATCTGACAAGTTAGTGAGGAATCTCTGCATAATGAGAACACTCGGAATCAGGGACACCAAAGTAGACACTGCTGTTGGGGAAGGAGAATGGTTGTTTAAAAGAATAAGATCTTCAGGGTGCCCACAAGTCTGACTTGAGATTCAGCTATGAGAGGAAGACATAGGAAAGTAAGAGCCAACTGAACATTGAAAAAAGAGCCAATTTAGATTTAAACTGACTTTTTAATAAAACATTGGGTTTCCATTTTCCCAAATTCCTATAGGAAGGCCTGTCTAATTTACTACCTTATTGTATAAATTGCCTCTATTTTTCTTCTCTTATTTAAATACTTGGCAAAGATCTTGACTTATGCCTCTGTACTTTGTTCCCTTTGATGGCTATAGTCATGCGTATTTGTTGAAATAGTGGTTAGCTATTTCTACCCTAAAGAATGAGTTCTATTGTACAGTTAAAATTTAAAATATTGTTGATAGCAAGTAGAGCTTTCAACTGAGATGTGTATGTTCAAAATTTAAGGAAAGCTTATAATTTGGTTTTGAGGCTACACCTACAAATTCCATTACATTCATAATTGTCATGCTTACATTTGAGAGCATAAAAATATTTGTGTGGGTGAAATGGTTATATTGGATTTTTTTAATGTTCATCAGAACTTACCAACTGATATTAATTTGTTTAAAAACTAATGTAGCCTTTAAATGGTATCTACTGGTAAGGGCAGATGTGTTATTTCCTCTCAACAGTTACCAGTATAAATGTAACTGAACATTATTCTAGAACATCTTTCTTAAGAATATCAAGTAAGCTGTATCATATTAGAAGGAAAAAATATATTGCCTTTTTCTCTTGCCATCTTCACGTCTCTGGTTTGCACATGTTACACTTTATACTTGTTTTTGTCATTCAGTGTTTTGGTGTTTGTGTGTGTGTGTGTGTGTGTGTGTGTAAATATATGTATAAGATTTCCATATTTCCCTGATACAGCAAATTTTCGGTTTTCTCAGTATCTCTACAGATTTCCTTCTCTTCCGTCACTCAAACTTTAGTTTCCAATGGTAAACCAAATATACGAAGTAAGATACACAATTAATTTGGACAGACCTTAAGAATTCTAAAATATGAAGGAATCTATTTTTTGCTTGTTTTAGTTGAGACAGTCAAATATTAAGATATTCAGTATCTCTTATAATATTTTTAGCTCTTCTGGTTATTAGACAAAAAACTAAAGAGATGATTTACACAACGGGTGTGAAAGAAGGAAAAAACAGTTCCTTCCTCTGCTTTTCCATAGGAAAGAAATGAAGTAATAAACAGCAAGAATTTTCTGTTTGTGAAGCATATGTAGGGTATCCCAAAAAATGTATACACACATTAGTAAATGCCTATTAACATAGCATTTTTTCTGTTAGATAATTACAAAGCTCATTTCCCCTTTATTCAGCCAGTTTCTTCTGTAGCCTCTTCTTTTTCCTTTTTATTATTAAGAGATTATTTTAATAGAAATGAGTTTTTTAATGGTAATAATAAAAATAAGAAGTTCTGTCAAAAGTTTTGGTGATTTGTACTACTACTGTGAAACTGTTTCTTTTTTCCTGGACAAAATCATATGCGTTAAAATAGGAACCCAAAGTTGATCTTTACTCTTTGTCCCTTGTCTCCATCTGCCATTCCTACTTCTACCTTATTCTTGTTGCAGCATTCTTATTTTCTCTCTGTACATCAACTGAAATCATCATTTACAACCCTGGCTTTCTGTCAGACAATCCTGTGTACAACATTTTGTCCAAAACGTGGAGATACCAGTTCACCAGAGGTTGATGGTAGATGTGAGAGCTAATCTGAAGCAGCTGAGACTTCCCTCTATACCTGGAAAGCAAAGACTTCAGTGATAGTCTGGCCAGTCTCCAGAAATTATCAATTATTAAAACCCAACTTTATTTAGGAGCAATAACTCAATTTATTGAATGGACTGAAAGATATATGAATCAATAGCTATCCATACCTTTTAAATTTAAAGAATTCATATTCTTGAAATAGAAATAATTTATATATATGTATATATATAAATATATATACACATATATATAGTTTTTTGTACAAAGTGTATATATTTTACAAATAAAATAGGAGTAAATTCCACAAGTTATTTTTAGTAACTACAAAATAACAAATTTTGTGAAGTAATCAAGTGTGATATAGATTAATATGAAAACATTTTTTCAAAGAACTTCTTGGAATGAGTATATAACTTCCATATTTTAAAGAAATTTAACAATTAATTTCTAAGAGTAGTTTCAGTTTTATAACATAAACTATGAAAATGTTTAAGTCAAGAAGTTCTCTAGCCAACATTAGATAAAAAAAAAACTTACAAATCTAGAAATCAAGGGTTGCATTGACTCCAAAACTTTTTTTATAGTGTCCATGATTTTTCTTTTTAAAGTACAAACATATTCTTTAAAAGTTTAGCTTTTTTTAAACTAAAATATTTATGCTTTAACACATTGGAACCTAGAAATCAGCTCTCTTTATCTCGGGAGCAATTTTTTAAGCCTCTTTATTCTGGAAAAATGTCAAATGTTTGAAAAAGTAAAGAAAACAGAAATATGACCCACCAGGTACCATATTCCCAGCATTCATGATTATCCACATTTGGTCAATCATATTCAACCTTTTCTTGTTTAAATGTCTTAAAATAAAACTTAACATTAGCACTGTAAAAAATTTGATCTGCAGTCCAGAAGTAAATTCTAACTAGCTTAGCTCTGACATTGATTGATTGATTTATCTATTTACTTTCTCTTATATTAAGCATTTTTCAAGCAACTATCATATTCTAGGCACTGTATTAAGCCTTGGAAATTGATTGGCTGAACAAGGTCATTGGGATCCTTTCTAAAGAAGTTCTCTTATGGCTAGAAATGTAAACTGCTAACAGAATAGATCATATCACTCATTAAATGATGCTTCATGAACTCCTGAACCATCCTTACTATGACATGAGATCCCTTATCATCTGCCCTCCTCAACCTCTTCACACTCAACTCTACCCACTGGACCAGAAGCACTCTAACCTCCTCCTATATGGAAATAATTATTCAAATAACCTCTCCTTTCATTTTCTGTATATCCTGGTCTCTCTCTCCGGACTCCTCATCTCAGAATCAGACAATTCTCAAACAGTTTTCAAGTCACAACCTAATCCTCACTTCCTTGAGAAAGTCTGTATGCCTCTCCTCCCAGCAGACAGCTAGATGTTCATCCTCTTTGTTTCCAGAACCCCTTTCATATGTCTCAACTGTAGCCAGCTTTCAGGTATATTACAGTTTTATATTATTCTGATTCACTAATATTTTTTTTCTGTAGAACAAGCTCTCCATTGTAGTTTTCTGTGTCCCCAGTATATGAAACAATTCAGAATGTGCAGCAGGCACTTAACACATTCTATTGTTTTTCCTTGGAATAAGTCTATTAGATAAAAAAAAACAAAAAAAAAAAACAAAAACAAACAAACAAACAAAAAAACAACCTATGGTCATTTCTGGAATTATATTAGTACTGTAGGTCCAGTGCACAAAATTCATGCACTGGAGAGGGGGGATTGGAACCAAGCCGGCAGACGGA